GCCATAGTGAGGGCCTTTCTTACATCGCACTATCGTGAGTTTGTCGTCACATCACCTGACAAATTGTTCAATGCATGGACAAAGGGATATGCTCCAGGAAGGACAAGGTGGTTGTGCCATGGAGTGCCATTGTACAAAGTCAGGATGACTTCGTGGCCCGGACATATCTTCCAGCAGATGTTGACTTGAAGGAACCTTCGAAGCTGCAAATTTGGGACACCACTACCTTGCTCCATTTCTGGCGTGCTCGGCAGGAAACAGGCGAAGGTCCCACATTTCTGTTCAAAGCATGGAAGAACAAAGATGGGGACATGATACCATCTGTCATATCTGGCAACTCGCCCTCTCCTCAGACTCATATAGTGAGAAGGCAGCAGAGGGTTACCATATGAAGGCCTCGGGAGTCATTGACAGAAGCTGAGAGTGATAAGGAGAGTGCTACTCATCATACGGAGCATGATGTGGATGATGACCTGGCTGATGGGAGACCTCCGCTGAAGAAACACAGGACGGGAGGTCCTACACCCAGAGGGCCGGCAGTCCCATGTGCAATTCCAAAGCCTCACCCGGCCAAGCCGGCCAAAAAAGGTGCATTACTGACATCATGAATGGGAGACCTCCTTGCTGGGTTAACTGAAGACGCAACAGGCAAGGTTAGAGATGATGTTGAAATGGAAGAGAGTATCATGCCACTGGCACAGAAAAGGAGGCGGGGTACTCGAGTCACTGTTGAACCATCCACGAGGACGACTCAGAGTAAGTTGCAAATGCCAGTAGACAGTACACCTAGAGTAACCAGAGCATGGGGACGCACTTAATGTACATATATGTTCCTGCCCTCATGTGTAATGTCATATGTGCTATTATATATATGTCAAAGTACTAACGACCTAATTGTAAATCCCAAATCCCAAATCTCGAGTACCAAGGCCCGAGTACTGAACCCCGAGTACTGAACCCTGAACACCGGGCACCGAGTACTGAGTACCAAGGCCCGAGTACCGAGCACTGAACACCGAGTACTGAGTACCGAGCACCAAGTACCGAGCACCGAAAACCGGGCAGCGAGTACTGGGTAGGTAGAGTATACAAGTACCAAGGACTACCTACTGAGTAGGTACAGTATACAAGTACCAAGTATTAAGTACTTAGCAGGTAAAGTATACTGCAATGTGTCTACTATCAGACATTGATCAATATTTACATGTTACTTGAGTCCTCAAAGGCCTCAATGAGGGTATCTAATACCTTCAGCATTTCAGAGGTTGACTCCCTTACCCTTTGCATCCTCCGGAGGTCAGCATCTGCTTTCTGCAGCTTGTCACATGTTTCAGCCCATGCCATCCTGAATGGTCTGTCAGCCTCAGCCTCAAGAATTTGTGCTACTGTAGGGGCAGGAAGATCTCCATGACACTGTTGGTAATCACCCAGGCGATCTACAATTGATTGAACTTGCAGGATATTAGCAGAGATAAATAATCAAATGTTGCATACTTACTTTCAGCTTGATCATAAGATCTGATTGGCATGAACTCCTGAACAATAGCATGCAGTGCTTCATTGTTGAGTTCTGGCTCAGGCGATTGATGTTCAGCAGTTTCTGAATTAGCTTGGGAAATAACATGAGTAAAGAACATGAAATGATATGACTATACCTACAAGGTATGGGTGCCTCTGGTACAACCAGAGTGGCCGGATGAGGCTCCGGAGTCGATTCATTCACTGGGGAAATGCCATGAAAGGTGAACATGAAATAGAAAGAATGACCTCACCAGCCATAGGAAAATTGGGTACAACTGGAGCATCATCAGACAAAATCAAGGTATCCTCCGGACCAAGATACAAGTCCGGGTCATCGTAAAGGGCCAGTCCATCCGCCAGAGCCGGATATGAGGGATCTGGAAGTATGTGATGAATTTGCACATGTGGAATATGTACATTTGAATTGGAAAACATACCAGGAATCACATTCAACACATCCAAACCACCGGACAACCCAGAATCAGAGTCTAACTCATCATCTGGCCCAAGGTATATATCATCTAATGGATCTAAACCATGTCAGATCAATTGACTGAAATCAGAAAAACAAAACATACCAAGGGACATCCGGGACTGGGAGGACTCATCCACATCCATTGAAGTGAATTCAGTGACCGGAGGGTCATGAAATCTGACCCCAGGTTGAGAACTCATGATATCTGATGAGCTGATGAACTGATGAACTGATTGATAACTGATAATGTCGAAGTTCAACAGATGGCCGGCAATTGCCGAAAGTTGAACCATGACCAAACAAACACAAACAATGAATGATTTTCAACATCATCCTTCAATTGTATTGTTTCTTTGAAACTTCATTCTAGTGATAACAGATTTCACCCTGCTTTCAACATTCTCACATCTGTCAACTCAATCCAAATGTCTACTCAAGTTCAATCTTCCTTGGCTGACCTCAAGGCATCCACTGCTCACGCACCCCTGCTCTCCTCCCCTGAACCCTATTCCCTCCACTGCGCTTCGCCCCTTCTCGCAGATCTCCATAGACCTGATCACTGATCTCCCTGAGTCAGGAGGCTATGATTCTGTTATGGTCGTGGTAGACCATGGCCTTATGAAGGGGGTAATTCTCTGTCCATGCAAGAAAACCATCACTGCTGAAGGAGTTGCTCAACTCTTCTTCAAGAAAGTCTTCCTACGCTTCGGCCTCTATGACAAGATTATTTCTGATAGAGGTCCCCAATTCGCTTCCAAACTTGCAAAAGAACTTGGAAGACTCCTCGACTACGAAGTCGCCCTCTCCACTGCCTATCACCCCCAGACTGACGGGCAAACTGAATGCCTGAACCAGGAACTCGAAACCTATCTCCACATCTATTGCCGATCCACACCTTCTGAATGGGTCAAGCACCTCCCTATGGCTGAATTTGTCCACAATCACCGAAAACTTGAACCTCACAATGCCTCCCCTTTCTACCTCATGATGGGCTATGAACCCCAAGGAATCCCCTACGCTTTCCCTGAATCATCCATCCCTGCAGCAGAAGAACGAATCAAACACCTCCAGAAGATCCGAGAAGAAGCCTTATCCTGCCACAACCTTGCAATGCAACGCATGGCTGATCGGACATATGGAAAGAAGTTTGTACCCTGGAAACCTAAAGACAAGGTTTGGCTCTCTGCTGTGCACCTCATCACACACCTTCCTTCCAAGAAGCTCGCCCCTAAGCAATATGGACCCTTTGAAGTAGAAAAAGTCCTTTCCCCTATCACATTCAAGATCCGACTCCCTCTCTCCTGGAAATCACACCCTGTCTTCCACGCCTCCGAGTTATCCTCCTATCATGAAACAGAAATCCACGGACCAAACTACCCTGAACCTCCCCCTGACCTCGTTAATGGGCAGGAAGAATACGAAATAGAAGCCGTTCTCGCCCGTAAGGGAAACGTAAAAGGAAAATGCCACTTCCTCGTGTCATGGAAAGGGTACCCTAGCTCCGAAAACTCATGGCTTTCCAAAAAGGAGCTTGCCAATGCCCAAGAAATTCTGAAAACCTATAAAGACCGCCTCAGACTCGCTAGACTCCTCATCTGACCACGCACAAGCAATATGCCTTCCTCCAAGAAATCATCTTCCTCCTCCGCCTCCTCTCTTGACATCCATCGCTCTGACCTTGCCCTCTGTGAGAGACAAGCTCTTGTTGAAGCCACTCTTCTTTCTCGATACTGTATCCTCCCTTTTGAATCATTTTTCTCTGATGACCTCGATGCGCTTGCACAAATGACCACTTTCTGCGCTGCAGACCTTACTATCGCCTATACCAACTCCATGATGATTGATGACGAAGCCAGACTCGTCATCACCCAGCAAGTCAAGGTCAAAAACCTTGTCCTCCGCCGCCTAATGGATAAAGGAATCAAGTCCGCCATGGCTCTTCCTGACTTCCCTAAGCCAGATGACTACCTATGTTCATCCTCCTATTCTATTTGTCTTTCCCCAGAACCCATCGAGCAGACCATACCTGCTTCCCCCTCTTCTTCAGAAGATGATACCCCTATTCCTGCTCAACCACGTCCTCCGACTCCACCTCACTCCCAACTTGCTGTCCGCTCCTTGGGGTCCCCTCGCCGCAATCACCAGAAAAAGAGAGAAACCATTTCCTTCGGCATCAGACTCTCACGTCCTATCAATCCCGCTCCTCCCTTTGTTGAAGATAAAGAATATATCTCCAACTCCATCCGAGCTCTATCTGAAGAAACCTTCCGCGATCGCAACGGTGTAGATTACTCCACCATCACCTGTCGTTATTGCAACGAAGAAGGCCATCGCCAGATCAAATGTCCCAAGTACTTCTGCCATGTCTGCAACAAGCACGAACCCCGCCACCTCTCTTCTAACTGCCCAGATCTTAAGGGAAAACATATCATCACCACCAAACCCGGCACCCACACCTTTCATTATCAACTCAGGCAATGGGAAAACGAGAGAGACAATGAGGCAGACGAGTATGGAGGTCAATTCGCTAGAGACACTGATCTCGACCCGGAGCTTTACCAGAATTGTGATTGAAGTCGGAGACCTCAGACATTGACAGGGGGGTAATGTTACAGTGACCCCATCATTTTCCCATCATCACCTGCAGGACTACACATGTACTATACTTCTTGATCCCTGTCGCACTTCTAGCGCACCTCATGTTGACCATGAGGACTTTCCTTATCTCTGACTTCCTTTTCCTGTACTTCTACAAATGCCTCTTGGACTGGTCCGTGCACTTCTGTCTACGTATATAAGCCCTAGCTACCACTTGTACATTTCCTTAACTTGAATCTACTCAGTTCTTCCTGATACTTGACTAGGACCTAAAGGGTGCCTCCGATCTAGCTCTTTGCGAAGAGACTAGCCTTTATTCGATCACTTCGCCAGAGTTCTACCTCTGGTTGTCGTTTACTTGAACCCGTACTCTTGATCTCCTTTATTGGAGCTGCTATGGAAGACTCTATCTGAGTCCGTAACACTCACCACTTCCTGCATCTGAATCATTGGTTGCCTGTGTTTTGGCAGACTCTTTCTTGTCACAGTACTGGCACTTGAGCCGCTTCTTGATGACATCGTTGCGTACATGCTCTTCATGAACATACATCTTGAGTTCAGCGAGGAGTGTGAGTGTTTCTGTTGAGAGCCAATTTCGCCATTTCATGAGAATTGCGCCAAAGACACTAAAAAGGTGCTCGCAAGAGGCGGAATTTGGGCAGATAGAGAGAAGGCGCAGGGCAATAGAATGAAGTGGTCTAAGTGGTGACCCGGGATGTGACAGTCCATCCCAGATATTAATTGGATCAACTGCAATACCCTGAAGGCAATTTTAGTAAATTTTCTTAAAAAATCAACTTGACTGCAGACCTCCTTCTCAGCATGAGATAACAATGCAAACTTGTAGACATCTATGTGTGCGAAGTCACAGGAACCACTCATATAGTCCTCTAGGTCTGTGTAAAGATCAAGTGGTGCATCTGAGTTGAAAAAAGGGCTCCAAAGACGTCCGAAAAGTGCCGCAAGCCCTGCACGTGTTGTGAGAGGTATCTTTTTGAATGGCAAAATCTTGTAGAAAGGATTGATGATGACAGCAGCAATAAAAACTTCTTGGTCACATTGTCCCCAGCGGCATTCAGCACTTGCAAGAACAGCTGTACGAGCAGCGAGATCAGTGTGATTTTCAATCTTGGAGTAGCGAAAGTGCAGGAAACCAAATGAAATCACAACATGTTCAGGTCTTGCTTGGGCTGCTTGGTGAATATTTGTCATGAGGGAGATTGGTTCAAGCAGAGTTTTCCATCTATGAAGAGAATCAGTTTTATTTCATAAAATTTTATTATTTACTTTACTGTGCCATTGCATGCCAGAATGTTGTGTTTTTTATTGTGTTGATAGTAGTTTGAGTCTTCCTGTGTGATTGTGCATCTCCACTTGACATTAGATTAGCCTCGTGCTTTGTAACAAGCAGTTCAAGGGCAGGTCGAAGCTCAAGAAGACAACAATATGCGAGATAGTGTGATAACCAGCGTGTCAGCACTGCTCTGAGGACTGCGAGTGTTTTTCCAATGGTTGCCATCTGTATCTCACAGAGAATGGCAAGTACTTGTGTCTTGCTGCGTAACCATGTAATTAACTCCTGCACCATATCTCCATATACCCCATAGTCATCTTTGACCTTGAAAAGGTCTCCGACAATAAGATTCCACTTATAAATCACCTGTAAGTACAATTTCATATCAGTTCCAATGTAAATTGCCATACCTGATGAGCTACACAATCAGGAACAACAAGGTGCGGAAATTTCTCTCGAAGTAGACGATGGGCCTTTCGAGATTCGCCAGATGCATCTGTAGTGCATGCAACCACAGTGGCCCCCCATTCAGTCTCGATCTTGCTGATTGCCTCTAATATCTGCCGAAGAAGTTCTTCAGCTGTCCGAGGATCCCTCAATGCATTGTGAACTTTGACTGTATGTAACTACATCGACAATTAATTAGTATTCTTGACACTCGCAGCCTTTGCGGACATACCTTTCTCTGTGCTGTCATCATGAAGCCCAGAAGGTGGTGATGATTTTCACCCGTCCAGCCATCGCACTGCAAGGTTGCATTGGCACCTCAGCATTCATCTTTAGCAATAGTCTTAAGTGTGTTGAGGGTTTGCAGCATGACACATTGTGTAAGGACTTTCGCCGAAGGTATTTTTGCTTGAGGAAGGAAGCAATCACATAAAACTTTCCATTCATGATTCTCGACCCATCACAATTGTAAACCGGCACTCGCAGTGAGCCTCGCAAGGCCAATCTCCCAATCAGCTTGGTCCGAAGCTGACCAAGGTTGGTCACTAAAACCATGGAGACTTTGTCCCAGCACAACCGGGGAAAGAGGTGGAAGTGAGCCAGAAACAGAGCAGAACAGACCAGATTGATTTAGACATTGGTGTTTCCCTAGCTGGGATGGTAATGAAACTGTGGAGAGTGCTGGACTGACTGAAAGAGAGTTGCAGGTATAGAGACTATAGGAACCTGATGACACAGTCTCAGGAATCAGCAGGGTAGGCAAAGGGCGCACAGACTCGGACCCTGGAACAGATGGAGCATTAAGAGCTGGCATGGTGAGAATTATTGGTTGTATACCAGTTGGCACTGTCATATGAACCCGAGTATTTTTTTGTGGTGAATGTTGTTCATGGTATTCGAGTCATGCTTGTGAACGAATGTCTTCCGAGTGCAATTCACATTTGCGCAAGTGATGTAACAGTGTCGATGGCCGACTAATCAACCAGACATGCTGGGAATCATTCTGATCAATAGCCCATACTATATTTCAAAGTTAGCAGGAGACACTGGCAGTAGTTACACAAGAGATCACATACAAGCACCTGCAATTGCAGCTTCATCTCTTGGTATATCTCGCTGGCCTACATGAATTTGCTGCTCGTCGAGTGCCTGCTCATGAGTTATGCGTTGCTCATAAAGCCTCACACATATAACTTTTGCCTTTCCGCTGACTACAGAGCCACTTTCTTTTGCAGCATAACCTGGGTGCACTATGAAGTGGTCCCACTAGTGCTGCCGTGGTCCAGTTCGGTCCAGTTCAGGGGGTCCTGGATGAGAACTGAGAACCGAACCGTGGTCCAGTTCTGTGAAATCTTCAAACCCAGAACTGGACCATAGAGAACCGTTCTCTATGGTCCAGTTCAGTTTTTTTCTGGTCCGAACTCGAACCGAACCCAAAGATTTTCAGTAGGGTGCACAAAAAACATTAACGAAGTACTAGTCTACACATTGAGTAGCTAATCTAATAAAAATAGCTGCATACTTCTGGCTCAGCCGCTGCCAAGAAACCAACCAGGCACAAGTGCAAACAAGAGTCGGCTGGATGTCTTCTCAACTGCAGCCATTCCCTCCGCGAGGCCCAACACATATTTACACGAGAACGCACCATCAAACCATCAGCAAGCACAGTTTGGGAAATATATAGTGCGTGCTTAATTACGTATGTCTCTTCCATAATGTCTGTGAAGAACGCTGCTGGTCCGCCTGGCCATGTATCGCGATATTTCACCAGGCAATTTTCGACATGAATGATGGTCATGATTATGTGCTTCGGAATTGTCAGCCAATAATATCATGCTACATTGGAAGCAGGAAACTGACTGCAGTGCTCACTAATAATAACAGGACAGCCACCACAGCAACTGGGCGATTGACGTCTCACATTCGACACTTGTAAGTCAAAGCCCAGATGGTACCGATAAACATGAGGATTGAAAAGCCTGAAGAGGGGAGCCTAGCTTGGTGAGTATGAAATGGAGAAACCCATTGCGATACTCACCATATACAATGCTTTCCAGTGCTGCTGACATCAAAGTGCTCATATCTGCAGGATAATGGTTATCGTGGAGACATTTGGTCGCTGTATCATGATGCGTCGCTTTCGTCTATCAATTAGTCTGCTGGAATCATAATATTTTCCTTTGAAGCCGCAGGAGAAACGAGTTCCGACAATTGTCTTCAATATGGTTTGAATAGAGGTGATTAGGGACCTCGGCCTTCAAGTTGAATGTCATTTCTCTGGTGCCTATCGCATAAGCCTGCAAATATATGACCTTCGCTCTGGCTACTTATCAACTGATATGAGGCATAGAATGTACACGCACCATCTAGTGATATACATAGTACAAACATACATAAATCAACATAGGCGCAGGTGGCATGGCGTGTGATGGGTTGTGCGGTCGTTTGTTCCGGTGCCGATGCTTCCATGAGTATGATGCGCGCCTTGACAACACATGATTCTGTTCTGCCAGTAGTAGTTGGTTGAAAATTGAGTTAGCAGCACATTGTGACAGCAAGTCATGTGAGAGTTTGATTGATTAGTACTTACCTTCAAAAAGGCTAAAGGTAGCCTGATTAACCAGTAGTGCGAATCCCGAAGATAACAGTTTGACGTGGAGACCGAAGTTGTCACAGTCAAAGTTGAAGTCGAATTCAATAACAGTTCGGAATGGTTCGGCAAGGCCAAACCAGAACGGGACCATTGGGGAAGACCTAGAACCGAGAACCGTTTTCTGGTCCGGTTCTGGCTGGTGTGAGCACTGTGGACCGAACTGCGGAGAACCGGACCAAAAGTCCGGTTCGAACCATGGTTCTAAACCGGACCACAGCAGCACTAGGTCCCACCACCATCCTCTGTTTGATTTCTTGCCAGTCTTCGTCATCGAGGAATTCAAGTCAGTAAAGGTGTGTTGAAAGATGAAATTGGCAGTCTATTGTCAGGCCATGAGTTCTTGAATTGTGCCTCCAGCCGAACAGGTGAAAGCCGCATGTTAATAATGAGACTGCGCAGTGTGCAAAGATATCAATTTGATAATCATTGATCAATATTGATATGGTATAGTCTGACATGGTAGGACCAGAGAACCGCTCGAAGTCATGTTCAAGTAAATGACGATGAACTTCACCAGTTTTCCCACAAAATGCAGTCAATAATCATGACCTTGAGTCACTGACTGGCAGAACACTGGTACTGACTACCCATGGATTCCGTGGGTAGTCAGTACTCAATATTTTTCGGCCGAGTCAAACTCACAACTTGTTACCGAACTCCCACCCAATGTCAAAATCAGATTTGTTGTTATCAGAGCTATCAAAATGTGATATTACTTCTAAGTTTTCAATGTTCAAAACTCGATGTGCAAAATGACCAGTCCAATTCCATTCCTCGTCCTCAATCAGATTTTTTCCCCATACTGTGAACCTTATCGCAAAGGTACGTTTGATTCATCTTTGCATGTATTATATTAATTTTTCATAACCAGGCTTTTCTTTCTTTCTTCTACCGTCAGCCAAAGCGGAAACAACAAGTGAAGGTCGCAAAACGAGGCCGTAAATGTCCCTCTGACAACAATGACATCATAACTCTTGAAGATGGTTTGGAAAATGCCGAGCTCACCCCTCTAGAGCAAGAACTCCTCGACGAGGAATGTGGTGGCCCTGCAAACTCTGAAGACTCAGCTGAAACAGCCACATCATCAACAGTTTCGGACGACGTTGATGAAGCAAAGTAGTAGTGATCTAATGCTCCATAGCTTCCTCAGTTGATGCCAAACATGCTTTCTCTGGTGGCCGTCTACAGGTGAATCATCTTCAACACGGTATCAGCTCCCAGACCTTCAAAGTGCAGGTTGCTGTTGGATCGTGGTTCAACACGCCTCTTATGCCGGATCTCAGTGTCGCTACGAATATCATGCGGCAGAAGATGGCAAAGGGCAAGGAAAAAGAATCAGGCAGGCTGGTATCAGCAAAATCGACTGTGATTGATATTATGTAGTACTACCCATGTCGTATTCTACGATTCATAATAGTGGGACTCACAGTAGCTTTTGGGAAACTCGCTAAAGCTCGCTAAACTCGGGTCGAGTTTGCAGGAAACAGCAGCTGAAAAGCTACATAATACTCGGCGCGCATCGGCACAATAGCAGAGTTAGAAACAACACTTGTGCATTTTCAAAGGTTGTGATACACAAAATGAGTAAATTAGATAGATTAGGCAATCCGAAATATGTACTTGTGAGGAGTAGTGATAAAGTAGATCCCCCCAAGGCGCTTTGTATTTGAACTGACATATATCAATAAATTTGTGAAAATAAACGAAGTCCATTGAGATTAGTGTGCATGCTGTAGGTGGGGAGCACCGGAGGGAGCTGAATAAGGCTCACTGCCAGAGGGAGCAGGCTGAGGTTGCATGCCGGGGGGAAGAAGCTGAGGCTGAGTGCCGGGTGAAGGAGGATGATGAGTGCTGGATGACTCACCTCCAGTGTGGTCTTCCTCGTGAGGATCTTCACAAAGATCTGCATGCCTCTGCGGAGACACAAGATCGGATGAAGGGTGGACTCCCTCTGGATGTTGTAATCTGAGAGTGTGCGACCGTCTTTGAGCTGCTTGCTGGGGAAAATGAAACACTGTTGGTATAGAGGTTGAGGAGGAGGAGGGTCGCACAACTCACCTCCAGTGTGATTGAGACCATTGGTAATTGTTTGATGCTTGACGGCTAGCGAGAGATTGAACTCCTTGTGCGTCTCCACACACTATGAAATAATAAGCATAGAGAAACGTGCAACTAGACAGAGTGACGTACCTTCTGGAGATAACGGTAAACATCCCTCGTCAACTTCTTGAACAGCATGCGGAATAGACCAGCGAGTAGAGGACCATCCAGCTCTCTCCATTCAAGAGCGGCGAGAAGTAGTCTGCGGATCGTAAGATATGACGCTGAGAGCACGGAGAACTGGATCTTTGCCTTCACGTTGTCGATGGTGTCTGATGACTCCATCTCCAACGTGATGGTCTTGACGAAGATCTGCATACCGCCATGAAGACGGAGAACAAGGTGGAGTGAGGACGGCGATAGTAAAGTCTTTGTGCCAGAGGAGATTGCAAATGAGAGCCTGGATAAGAACATGTGTGAATGGTGAAAGTAGAATGCATTCGTTTGGCAGATCGTCGAGGGATAGCACAGATCTGTGGAGCTGGTGCACCCATGGTCGTCGTTGATGTTGTGGATGTCGGTCATGAGGTGCATCTAGGCTTGACCTAGGCTGTGAGCTGGACTTG